ACAACTAGCAAACTACAAAGGTTCATGTTACAGAAATTAAGTCTAGAACATACGAAGTACAGGAGTAGTTAAAAATCACTGGAAATGGATGGACATGTGACATTTTTGAGGATAACTTAGGTTTTTGTCTATAATAAGAGACCAAGAGTCCATAGGCGTGAGTTTTACTATGGTCATCCGATCCTAAAAGATAACCGCCAAAGTTGATAGTGTCATAATTATTTATTAATTTAAACTAAATATTTTTGAAGAAAAGTAAAAATTTAAAACATATTTAATTTGGTTCATATTAAAAAAAAGTGTTAAATTCATCAAGAAACAATGAGGTTTAGGTACGTCTTCTCTCAAGACTGTGAAGTTTAAAATGTTATTGTAACCGAGATAATATGAACCTTTTCCAGCCTAAAAAAGGCCAATTTGGAAACTTAATTGTGTCTTTACAATGCGTGTATTAGTTGCGAAACATCATAGCACCTTCGTTAGTGCCCAAACTCTTGCGTTATTGTGTTTCTTTGTGTGCAATAAGTTTGCAATAATTAACAAACGTAGACTCCTTTGCTTCAACTTACCACAGCACAAAAGCGACGGAAAGTTATATTAAATAGAAAGGTCCAAACAATTTCGTCCCTTTCATTCGCATAATGTTATTTTTGGAAAATTCCTAGGAAGCCAACATTTTAATTAGAGGAAGTCTCAGTTTATCTCCTTGATAAACAAAATTTATTTATCAAATGACAAAAATGTAAATAAATCAACAATTTTGCCTAGTGATCATGACATATTTGTAAATAAATCAACAATTTTGCCTAGTGATCATGACATATTTGTAAATAAATCAACTATTGTGGGTCCATTTTTATTAAAAAGTTGTTGATTTAATTACAATTTTGCCATAAGGAGATAAACTTGTATTTTCTCTTTTAATTTTTTTTAATGTAGTAAAAGCAATGGAGCCATGGAGAAGGATTCAAGTAATAACTTTTTATTTTTTATTTTTTTTATTATCATGTGTTTGTAATTTTGGACATATACCTTTAAATGTGTAAATTAGATCATGGACATGAGTGCATGATGCTACTCGTAAATATAAAAATATTTAATGACATGTGTAAAGGAGCACTTGCATATACGGAGTAAAAGGATTAAAATTTATAGCAAATCTTATGTGATTGAAACTTTGAAATTCGTGATTACTAGTGGCCAAAAATTATTCCCAATTTTACTCCAACATGTTCAATCGGAGATTATATTTGAACGTGAAAAATTAAAAATGAAGAGAACTTATGGTGATTATATTGTTACAAAATTTGTATGATAATGATAAGTTTTTCAAGTATTGTAAGCGATTAAAATCTATAGAGTTTAATTAGAGAAAGAGAGTGGAGACAAGCAGTAATGGTAATATTTTGATGATCGTTCTAAAACTTTAAGTTTGAAAATCTGTAGCGAATTAATTTTACGTTACTTTTACATAAACCTTACTGTATGTTCTTTCAAGCTTATCTTTAAATGTTGATGAAAGTCTTATTTGGCAATTAGTCATCTTAATACTAATAAAATACTAAGTGATAATCGGGACATAACGTACAACATGCCCCTTATATAGTTGTGTGTATAATGTATCAGATTGATTACAAAATGTTTAATAAGGAATCACAAGTTGGTCAATCGATAGAATAACCCAAAACGATACTTCTAACAACTTGTTTAGCAAACGATTGCAATTATTATATGATAAATTATAGTTGTGTGCACTTTTTTTTATTATTAAAAAAAAAAAAAAAAAGAATAAAGTAATTCAATTTCAACATTGATTTCTTTCACAAGTTTGATATATGTATCTATTTACATTTTATCAAGTCCAGTGAGAAAGTTTGCATCTTATAACCAAGAAGTTGTGTTCAATTTCACTAAAGGTACTTTGGGGTGGGAATTTCCTTATCCATTCCCCTCACTTCTATAGTCTAACCTGCTAAGCCCGGTAGAGAGGACCTGTGAGAGGTTCCAGCTCGGTAGGACCCAGACACTTGGGAGTAGAAGGGAGGGTAAGTGAATCCCTCCTACCCCCAAGTAGGCAAGCACCCTTACTTGGTAGGATTTGAACCCCAAACCTCTAGGATTTGAGGTAAGAACCGTACCAAGAGAGCCAACACTTTGTTGGTAAATATAATACTTCTTCCATTTTTTTAAATGCACCATTTGTCATTTCACGCTTACCGATGTAGTACTTTGGCTATTAAAATCTTTAATTATAATTAGGTAAAAATTATAAAAAGTTGATTTTTGAAAAGCAGACGTCGAGACGAATTAATGAGATACCACTTGACTATGTTTTTCCTTACGGATAAATAACAAAAGGTGGTCAAAGATGGTTGTGTGAATAATGTAAAATCCCAAATGGTGCAATTAAAAAAAAAAGGAAGAAGCATGTGTTTATGATATGTATTCTCTGTAATGCGTGAAGTGTATCATCTTTCACAATGTATCTATTATACTACTTTTGTTAAGTATTAGTTGCAACTTTAAAATATTTTAATCTCACAAATAATATCCCAAATTTGCAACTAATACTTAACAGAGTTAGTATATCCAATCATTTCACTTGATTTTGTGGATTATTTACATGGTTTTAATTGTCTTCCCCCACCCTCTGCCTAAATTCTCAATTCTTATAGGGAAATTCTCATTGGTAACCCCCTATTATTGCTATACCCCAATGGTGACCCAACTTTTTTTGAATTATACAAAATGACACCAATTTACTGATTTATCCTAATTATAACATTAATGATGATTTTTTAACTTTAAGTTAAACCAGGGTTAAGCAAAATAGGGAAATGACAAAAATGCCCTCTTTTATTTCACACAAGCGTCTGATTTGTATTCCCTCCATTTAATGTTCTCTCTCCTGCTTTCTCCCTCGTCATAACTCATCATCTTCTTCCTCTGAAATCTTTCCCATCAAAGGTTCATCGAGACACAAAAAAACACAGAGTCTTGAATGCCAGTGTAAAAAGGCGGTGTTATTCATTTTTCTTCTGGGTTAAAGTGAAGGGGGATTACAATATTTTTGATTTCAACAATTGCAAGTAGGGTATTCAAATTTGTGCTAAGAATCGGGGGTACCTGGTGAAAGATCGAATCTTTGTGCATCTCCTTTTCAAATAGAAGTTCAGGTATGCATGAAAAACCCTATTTTTTATATAATGTTTGCGTTGTGCATTTTATGTACTCTGTTTTGGCATGATCGTTTTGTTGCGTGTGTACTGTGGTTGTATGCAAGTATTATGCCCTAAATTTAAATAATTTTTTTGTTGTCTTGTTTACTGATTTTGTGTTATGGACCTGCTTGTCTGTGTTTGTGCTTGGAATATGGTATGGCGTTGGAATGAGTGATGTTGTGGTGTTGAGGTTGATGTGGTAGTTGAAGATATTGATACAGTCAACCTAGTTGACCTAGTGATTGAGTATTGGGATAAGGCTGTTGAGAGTAAAAAACCTATGGACTTGATAACTGATAAAGACCTGATGAAAATGTTTACTAACTTAAATGGAAGAGACCTTATACATATATGGATGGGTGAGGCTAATTCACCAAATGATTTACTGAAAGCTGCTAGGAGTTTGAGGGCAAGTAGAATAGCAGCTGATTTGAAAGAAAGTGTGGGACAATTGGGTCAGACAGAATGTGATCCTTCCAAGGGAATCCCTAGGAGAAGTCTAAGGCACCTAGAGGGTAGTTCAAGTCAACCTGTGATAGAGGATAAGAGACCTAAGAAACTAACCCCTAGGAGAAACACTTCATCTAATGTGACAGAACCTGTAGACCCTGTTCCTGAACATGTTAATGAAGGAGATGAGAAAGATGATGATGAAAGTGATGGTGAACCTGTTGAAAACCCTATAGTTGAAATATATAATGCAATGCCTAGTGATGATACATGGGCTGATTTGATGAGGGAAATGGAAGAAGAAAAAGAATACATGAGTAGGGGGAGAGGAAGAGGGAGGGGGAGACCTAGAGGGAGAGGTAGGGGGAGAGGTAGAGGGAGAGGTAGGGTTGGAACTGAGGGGGAAGAAGCACCTGTCAGGCTTGTAGGAGGTAGGATATGGCATAGTGGACCTGGAAGGGACTTGAAGGCATGGTATAGGAAGCAAATAGAGGATGCAGTAGAGACTGAGGTTGAGAGGTTGGCTAGGGAAAAGTATGAGAAGAGAGAAGAGGAGTTGAGGAATGAAGAGCTGAGGAAAGAATTAGATTTACCACATATAGAACAAGCCAAACCAGTGCAGGTACTCAGAAGAAGTCCTAGAAAAAGGTTCCAAAGTCAGACAGGAACTAGGATGGATGTGATTGCACCACCTCTGTCTGAGATGAATGTTATCACAAAGCAAGCTTCAGGGCCTTCTGGGGAGATAGTGACATCTTCTAAATCTTCAACAACATTTGGTAAGAGAATTCTAAGGACTACAGCAAGGAGGAAGGGATTGATTATTAGAACAAGTTCTGATGAAGCAACTGAACCCTCAAACCAACTTACTGTGAGTTTGGGTGGAGATGGAGCTATGCTGAGTGATGAAGGGGATGTAGGGGATGGAGCTATGCTGAGTGATGAAGGGGATGAAGGGGATGTGGGGCATGGAGGTGATGGTGAATTTGGTTCTGAAGAAGGAGATGATCAGGAAGATCTGAATGTAGATCAGGAAAATGAAGATGAAGATGATATGGATACTTTTGATGATATAGGGGCAATTGTTGACAACTTTGATCCTTGGGAAGGCCCTATGTGGGATAATGACAATGACTATGAAGATTACTTTGCAAATTTGTATAAAAATGGAGAGTTGTACAATGAGGAGGAGTTTGGCAAAATTGTCATCAAACCATGGCAATTATTTACAGATAAACAACACTTGAGGGATGTTGTGAGGGATTATTTCATACAAAGTGGGTTTTCAATAGTTATGATAAAGGCATCAAATATGAGGTGGACAGTTACATGATATGTTCTGATATTAACTGTGAGTGGAGGCTGCATGCATCTAGGCTTCCTGATGGTGTCACATGGGCAATCAAGTCCATTAAGAACATGGAGCACACTTGTTCTGGTTTGGAGGTGAAGAATCCAATGGTGTCTACCAATTGGGCTGCCAGAGTGTTGCTTGAGGATATAAGAGCCAATAATGATATATCTTCCAAGACATTGAACCAATTACTTTGGCAAAGATATGGAGTACAAATGTCTGCAAGTACTCTGTACAGAATGAGGTCAAAGGCTCTGAGAGACATTAATAGTGGCCATGACATCTCATATGCCCAGCTTCCTGACTACTGTGAAATGGTCAGATCAACAAACCCAGGTTCTGCTGCATTCTGTGCTTGGACACCCCAAGATTATATTGACAGGCCTTTACAGTTCCTAAATATCTTCATATCATTCAAAGGCTGCATAGATGGGTTACTAAGTGGGTGTAGGAGCTTCATAAGTGTTGATGGGGCTCACTTAAAGGGGAATTATGGTGGTGTCCTGTTATCTGCAGTGGCACTAGATGCAAACAATGAGCTATTCCCCTTTGCTTGGGCAATTGTCTCGGTTGAGGATACATAGAATTGGAAGTTCTTTGTGTGGCATTTGAAGAACTTGCTGAAAGATAGTGGGAGAGGGGATGAGTGGTGCATTATCTCTGACAGACAGAAGGTATAAAAGTTAACCTTTGTAGTTATTATCTTCCTTCACCGTGTCTTTGTCTTACATAAAACTTGTGTTTTTTTAGGGTATTGATGCTGCATTGACTGAGTTGTGGCCAAAGGCTGGAAGGAGATATTGCTGTAAGCACTTGGTAAAGAATTGGAAGAAACCATTCCCTGGCCCTTTGATGTTTAGCCTTTTCTAGATGGCTTGAAGGGCCTATTCTGAGTTCACATTCAGAAAGTCCATGGAGTAGTTGCAGAAGGTCAATCCAGCTGCTTTGATATGGTTGTCTAAAGTTGGCCCACAGTCAACATGGACCAAGCACAAATTCAATGAGGCTATCAAATGTGATGTAAACAAAAGCAACTTTGTGGAAAGTTTTAATGCCACATTGGGTACAGACAGAGCAAAACCTGTTCTGACTTTGTTGGAAGGTAACAATTTTCTTAGTTATGTACATGTAATATGCCTATATTTCAGAATGTAGCATTAACACATTTGCTTATGAATGTTAGGAATTAGGAGAACAACAATGGTGAGGATGTGCACAAGGAACCAAGCTTCTGCAAACTGGGTAGATGATGATATATGTCCAAATATTAAGGCCAGACTTAAAGTGATCACTAGAGACTCCAGGGGTTGTAGAGCATACCCCAGTGCTGATGGGTATGAGGTGACTGATGGCAAATCAGTGCTACCTGTAAACTTTGCTGAAAAAAGGTGTCTTTGTGGGGTGTGGCAGATTTCTGGAATTCCTTGCAGGCATGGAATGAGAGCCATCTTGCATGCAAGGCTTGATCCAAAACAATTTGTCCATGAATGGTACTCTGTGAGAAGGTACAAAGCTGCATATGCTGGTGGAATCAACTCCATCCCTGACAGTGATCAATGGCCTGACTTTGACATGCCTAAAATTGACCCTCCTACCATGAAAAGAGGTGTTGGCAGGCCTTGTAGAGAGAGAAGAAGGGAAGAAGATGAAGAAAGGAAGGGTAAGAGAAGCAAAACCATTAAGTGCAGCAATTGTCAATGCTTTGGGCATAACTCAGCTACATGTAAAGGAGGCCCCACTGCAAAACAAGCTGTTGCTGCTTCTGCTTCTACTAAGGGTAAAGGGAAGCAAGCAAATGTTGCTCCTGCCTCTGCAAAGGATAAAGGGAAGCAAGCTAAAGTTGGTCCTGCATCAGCAAAGGATAAAGGCAAAGGACCCATGTCCTATTTACAGCCTGGTCCAACACTGAGGCCACTTAGGGGAATTAGGTTCTTAACCCAGCCTCAGTAGATGAATGTCTTGGTTGTAATTAGTATAAGTAAATAACTGGAAACTGATTCTTTTGGGTACTTGAATCAGTCTATTTTGGGTATTTAGGGGGGGTACAAGGCATCTTAATATTTTGGATTGTGTACATTTGCTTAAGTTTGGTTTGTGAACAATTGCTTAAGTTTTAATCTGCAAGTATTTCCTTTATGTTCATATTGTATCCAGCTATATTGTATACTTCATTGGTACAGTTGCATAACATATTCACAAAACATAAGAAATTCAATTTCAACAAACATTCTGATTTTTATTTAGGTAGGATGATCAGTACATCATTCAACTACATAGATTGCCCTAAAATGAAACCCTAATTTGAACCCCTAGCCAATTTCCAATTGCCCTAAAATGAAACCCTAACTTGAACTAATTTCCCCCAAATTACCAATCTAGGGTTTACAACCTACTTAATCAAAGTACAGAAAAACCAAATTACAAAAATCCCAATTGCAATCTTCATCATCTTCTTCCCAAAGCCATCGAAATAACCTTCATCATTCACCTCATCAACAATCCTCATAATATTTGCTTCAGGAACCCATGCAAAAAAGTGACAAGTACTGCATTTGTAGTAGGGCTTGTCTGGATTGGAACGTGTATCAGAAAAACGTACATCGAGATACCTCTTAAATGAACAGTCGCAACAGCGAAGCTTGATTACTCGACCTCTTCCCATGGTGGCTGCGTAATATTGGATGGCGAAGAAGACAACAATGGCGGAAGTTGAGGGAATTAAGGGAGAAAGGGTTTTTAAACCCTGTTTTCTAACTTTTTGGGGGGAAAGGTTAACCATGGTTAACTTTATTAATGAATTTAAAGTTAAAAAATCATCATTAATGATATAATTAGGATAAATCAGTAAAGTGGTGTCATTTTGTATAATCCAAAAAAAGTTGGGTCACCATTGGGGTGTAGCAATAATAGGGGGTTACCAATGAGAATTTCCCATTCTTATAATTTACCAATATTGCAATTCTTTTAAACAGAAAAAGTATAGAATGTATTATCTTTAGATTTATTGTTTTCAAGACAATGTAATAGTTTGGCAAAATAAAGAGTTTTAACACTTGAGGAAAAAAAAAAATACCAATGAAGACAAGTGTAACACTTCTCAAAAAAAAAAAAAAAAAAAGTACTCTTATATAAAAGTTGAGAGACTTCAGATGCTAAATATCCTCACTGATAAATAAAATTTAAGGGTAATTTAAATTAAATTTCATTTATATCATTGTTTTATATAATTCTCTACACCTCAAATATAGTAATAAAAAACAATCAAATATTTGACATATTATTATGGATTCATAGGATGTAAAAAAAACCAATCTCTTGTGTTTTACTACCTCTATTACATATTTGTTGCAATTTTAGAGTATTATTTATGAGATATAAAATATTCAAAAATTGTAAAAAATATAAAACGGAGATAGTAATAATAGAAAACTATGGAGTAGAAATTACACCATAACTTCACAAACAACAAATTGACAATCGACGCGCAATAGTACAAAAATAATTAATTAATACAACAAAACAATCTTGTAACGCTACACGTTACATTCATGTCGGTCCCCCAATCCCCCTTTAAATACACTCCAAATCCCTAACCCTTTCAAATCACCTATTCTTCTCTTTCCGAATCCTTCCTTTTCCCTTTTCCCTTTTCCCTTTTCCCATCACTTTGATTCCTCCAACATCATATCCTCCAATTTTTGTTCCATTTTCTCCATAAACGTTAACAACATTTATCATCTCCGATTCCCCATTATTTTATAATCGCAACGTATTCCTTTTAAAAATTATCGTTTACACCCGCCGTTAGTTGATGATTCTATTTCACTACTTTACTCTAATTTTATTCCTCTTGGCCACTCAATTTATTACCCCCATCTTCACCATGCCTGAAAAACGCAACTTCTCTTCATTTTCTCTCTCCTCAAATCGATCACAACAACAACAACAACAATCTCCATTAATGGGTGTTTCATCAAATTCCAAGAAATTGCGAAGACTTCCTCATGTGTTCAGCAAAGTGTTGGAGTTACCATTTGATTCTGATGCCGATGTTGTCGTTGAAGAACGACATGATTGTTTTAAGTTTACGGTTGAAGATGATGCCGGTTTTGCTGGAGTTGGGTATAGTAGTGGCGTTAAAGCTCATGTTGTTGAGGTTCATCCTGGCATTACCAAAGTTGTTATTAGGAGTAGAGAGAATTTGTCTCGGCCGATCGTTGATGAGCTTGAGCTTGATGTGTGGCGGTTTCGGCTTCCGTCGTCTGCGCGCCCGGAGCTTGCCACCGCGGTTTATACTCGTGGGGAGCTTGTTGTGATTGTGCCCAAGAATGGTTGGGGTGAGATGGATAGGAGGGGCGGTGATTGTAAAGGTGGGTTTAAGGGTAATATGGGTAATCTTATTATTGTTCAATAATAGGCTCGTTACGGAGCACGGATTCTACCATGTACTCGGGTGCGCCTAGAGCAGGTGTAAGCTAATTGCTCTCACTTGTAAATGAAATATCTAATTTTTTTTATGAGGTAGAACTACTAAGTTTAAATTCCTTCATTTTATTGGGTGTGCCTTAAATGAAGTTGAATATGGGTAAATTCAAGTTTTTCTATGAGATAAACTTATAAATATATCTCCTGGACTCCCTCGTCGAGTATAGGACAACATTTTCTTACTGTTTGCCCTTTATATTTTTTTTTGAGGGAAAGATACAAATACTAAGGTTTAAATTTTAGTGGCAAATTATATTTGGTTAGTAAATTAATTTATACCGTAGTACATTAAGATAACGAGTAGAACCTCCAACTTTATTAATATTATCATTGACTAAGTTTCATGCTTAACTATAGATTAGGAGTTTCCTTCCTAAAGAGGATCTCCTAATGTTTAAACAAGTTCCAAGGAGACTAAGAATATAGGATAGTATAGTTCTAGATAATTTATGCAGTACATAATTAGCTATTTGAATGGATTTGTAAATCACACTTTCTGTCATACGCTTTGCTCATAGCCTACCTTCCCAAGGCCCTAATTTCATCCAAACACACTGACGTTTTCGCAACAATGTCAAGGAGAATACGTGTTTCGGTGTTTGCTACAACTTCAAAATAAAAATTCTGTAACACATTGTATAACCTAATCGGTCTATAGTCCTTGGCCAAAAGACACAGTTGATTACCTAATTGTTCATTTTCCCACATAATCAACGACATTTACACTAACAGTATTATCAAATCCTGTGATGGAAATATGGAATGCATACAGTTGCCTGAAAAATTGCATCAGCCCTAATCTCAATCTAAAAAACGAAAAATTCTACCATTATTATTATCAGGAAGAAGGTAAAGCAATTTGACCAGTTCAAAGTTATATCTCCGTATATAATCTATTAACTAATACTAAAATAAAACATTGCTGACATTATCAACTATTAAACTATCTTATATGTCATTCTCAATTCCCTCCAATTCTTGATGTCATCAATTATAAATGATTTTTTTTTTATTTTTTTATTTTAATCTACGCTTTTGACTTCAATGCATAAGTGTCTATAAATAATTCAATTAACCAATTTTCCCTCCTAAATTATAGTTTCGCATACCTAATTTATTTGATGTTTGATCATGGTTTCAATTTTTTTTTTTTTTATTTTACTTTTCTTACATGTAAATTATTTTTAAATCTAATTCTAATCTTCATATACAACGTAATGCAATAGACAAGAAAGATAATTCTAATCGATCGCACGGGAATAACTTAGTTAAACAAATAAAGAAGAAATAAGAAGGCTGTGCTTAATTAGCTCTTAATTACACTCAACGCTAAAGCCTTTTTTTTTTAAAAAAAAAAACACAGAATAGATAAAAGATAATTATATAAAATATTGAGTACAAAAATGTACTAAAAGGTAGGTATATTAGGCCTTGTTTGGTTCACATTATAAAATGGAGGAACTAGAAATTCATGGGAATTGATAAAATGGATAGTTGTTTGGTTGATATAAAAATGCAGAAATGATGGAAGTGGAATTCATGGGAATTTCAATTTCCCACAAAACATGGGAGTAAATTTCCAAGCTCCCCCCAGGTAAACCAAAATTCATGGGAATTTCAATATCCCTTATTGCAAACCAAACACATTAAAGAAATTCCTAGGGATTTCATTAAGGAATTAACTTCCCATGAAGTATAAATTCCTATGGGAATTAAATTCCCACATCAACCTAACAACACCTAAAAGTAAAATGAGGATAAAGTGGAATAGTCGATAAATTTCCTACAGTTTTACAACATACAGGTCCTAGGCAAAGACAGCCTATTGACAAGAAATAATTATACCTTCCATTAAAAAAAAGAAAAAAAAAAAAAAAAAAAACTCAGACCATCCCAAAGATTACCTACTGTGACATGTTACTCATTATGAGCCATTAATGCAAGTCATTTGACTACATAAGTGGCTAATCTTTTCAATAGGGAGGGAGTAGTAATGATGAAAAATAATCAAGAAACAAGCACATAAGTACATGCGAGTACACAAACACGAAAGAAGGGTATAAAAGAAGAGAGGGTAGATTCAAAGGCAGATGTGAAGTTTGTTAATCATCCAAAAAAATTTCAACAGCAATATGAACAGTCCTTCGATTAGGAGCTCATTGGTGGAATCTCACCTTCTTCCTGGGGTTGAAGAACAGAAAAGCAGAGATGACAGAGTTGAAGTTGGTGTGAATTCAGATGTCAGTCTTTGCGATCCAGATCAAAGTGTTCCTTTAGAATTTCTTTGGGAGTCTTTCCAAATCCATTGGCAACCTTTTCCATATCTCTGAGTTTGCCGAGCTCATGTTTAATATGCTCTTCTCTGGCTGCAATAGATCTGAGCAAGGCATCACGATCCTTTGATGGTGAAGGCCGTAATAGTTCTAACTTATCCTTGTAAACTTGTTGATAGAGGCTAAAAAGGTGATCTTTTTGAGCATGAAGCCTATCATGAGCAATACTAAATTCATACTCTTGCGACCTTTTAAGTTCCTGAAGAACTTGAGTAATTTCCTCCTCCAATTTCAGATACCCATTTTGATACAAAAGATCATCTTCACCTAGGTCTGTGCATGCAGAGTTAGAATGATCCAGACCATCCAGTTGTCCTGCTCCTGCAAATGGAAAAGGAAAGATATCTCTATTTAACAGAAAAGGTAACTCACTGTCAACTTTTTTGAGCTCTAACAACTCACCATTCTCGTCATAGGAGCTGAAATGATAATGAATTTGAGATATAGATTCACCTGTGGGAATAGGTAAAATGTCCACTTCCACTTTCCAGACATCTTCCATATCATTCCCAACTTTTAGCTGTTGTCGGAACAGTATAGTCAGCTAAAGCAGCAACTTGCAAGTCAAAAGAGAAACGAAAACCTTACCACACCCCCCTCACACCCCCCCCCCCCCAAAAAAAAAAAAATTAAAAATAAAAAATAAAAAGTTTCCCAACAAATAATACTCGCCTTTTGCAAAATGGATTCGATACGATTCAGCAGTTTTTGTGAACCTTTTTTCTGTGATCCTCGCAAAACACAGGCACCAACACTTAACATCTTGTCAATCTCATCCTGAGATTCAATAGATTCACACGTCTTCAAAAGCCTTGTGATATGCTTAGTCAAATCAGTCCGTGTATCACAACGTCGACAATAGTATTCAGTGTCTAGCCCGACACTTCCTCCAACTGTCCCAGCCATATACGATCTGAGAGCACAGTTAATATGAGCCGCATGACCACATATTAAACCATCACTTACTGTTGCGTCACATCTGATAAAACTGTAGCCACCAGAGGCTATATCTATGGTTTTGCAACATAGTATACAACAACACTCGCGACAAAAACTAGGTTCGCTGCAGCAAACTTCACAAGATTGGGTAGCTGCAGGAGACATCTGATCTTCCAGAAGACTAGAACAAAAACTGTTACCAGCCTTACAACCCACAGCACCAGGAGGCAAATTAGAGGGAGACTGCGCTGCCATCTCTTCAGATGATATGCGGAAAGAACCATGTTCATCTTCAAAACCAAAATCAACACAATGTTAAACAATGAACAGAAATTAACTTTTACAGCCCAAAAGTTAAAATGGTTCCACCAGAGATAGTCAGAAATTCAGAATGTGTACCATCTACAAAACCAAGCCAAAGTACAGAATCCTTAATTTAAAAAAGTACCATAACAAGTTTCATATCTACATCATAAGTCAAACATCAAATCAACTACCTTTTTTTTTTTTTTTTTTGGAAAGAACATCAAATCAACTACCTAGAATACCATAAATGGGGTATATGGATCATAAATCAAATCTTGAACTCAAATCAGACAATTTAAGAAACTTTAGGAGTTGAAATGAAGATATCTCGAAAGGCTCTCCATCTGTTTCAAGATGCAAGAAGTTGATGTTTATATTGTGTTTTAGAGTTTCTACAGAAAGGAGTCTTATCTTTCGAAATCCTTCTATGATTGAACTTTGGCATTAAGTCTTTAGTTGATTTAAATGTACTCGATATGTTTATATATTTTGGTGAGCAAAGATACTTCTCTTTATCTCCCTTGTTGGGAAGTTGCATATTAGTTGCAACAACAATACTTTTGGCAATGGTTTCTCTTTATCTCCCTCTTTATCAGAGTTATCACATGGGACTAGCTTTTTATCTCTCTCTTCTCTCCAAAAAGAAAATTTGCAACCCTGTATGTTTCAATTATAAAACATGAAGTTTCAGTTTTGAAGAATCCCAAAATCTAATGTTAAGAGTCATGTGTGGGCACGAGGAAATCAAATTAAACGCTACCATTCCAAAATCGGGAAAATCATTGATGCAAAGGTAGCGTTAGCATAAGGTGAGTGTGCAGTAAAAATGGAGTGACATTAAATAGATATGAATATAATACGATAATGAGTGAGCTGCATATTGATGGTGACTTATAATGGAGATGGGGAGACTTTTACAGAATATGGAGTACCTGATCCATTTTATTTTATATCCCATTCTTACAAGCCTATATTCAAATATCAAGATAAGTTATCATAATGTTTTAATGTTCTCTTCTTCAACGCTGAAGATATATGTCCTTATAAGGCACACTAATGAGTAACGATATATAACACCTTTATCGAAACAGTAAATAACTCTAAACTGGAGCTCCAGAAGCTCCGTTAAACTCTCATACTGCATGAGATCTGAATATGTATGATCACTCTTCTTACCGTTAAAGACACTGGCAGAATTCAGCCTCCATCACAAAATGTTCAGCTATGAAAGTGAATCTATTGCTGGCTCTTAATTAATTTGCGTACTATTATGAAAGATACACATTTGGTCATTGAAAACAATTTGAACATGCAATAACCACATTAATGCCAGCCACAGTTTAAACCAGCCTATATCTCAAAATTATGAAGTTAAAGAGGAATCCGGTTATGTCAAATTTATTTCAAGAACATGTACAGACTAAAGCTCAAAACATTATCCTATCAACTAGCATATTGATGACTGAATCAAGCTTAACATGATAGCACTGAAAGATCAGTGCAAAAGACAGAACACAATTGAAGATTCTGAATTTGGATAGAAGAGAGAGAGGAGATAAACTATATATTTGACCATTTTACTTCGTATATAGTAGTTTTGTAACATCATCAACACTCCTCTCCAACACATTCGATCAACCCTCCAATTTTCTTTATGGGGTATCCACTTATTCAAACCAAGAATATCTTAAATAATAAAATTTTAGAGCAGATTGTAAGATTTTTTTTTTTTTTTTTTGGCAAGTAATAGAAATAAGAAAAGTAGCATGGCAATACAGAACAGCCTACAGAACTCAAGGCAAAATAAGTTCTGATATGTTTAAAATGCTACTCAATTCAATTCAAAAAAGTTCAAACTGAATTATTCAAATAAGTAGACAAAACAAGTCCTGATAAATTCAAATAAGTCAACATAAGTTGAACAAAACACACCTTAAAAGATAGGGGCATGTTCTATTCAACTTATTTTGACTTATTTAGACTTATCTGAGCTTCTTTTGACTTATTTAGACTTAGCTAAACTCCTTTTTGAATTGGAAGAACTAATTTTAACTTTCTGAATTCAATTAGAGCTTATTTTGACAATTCAGAACTCATTGGAATCCGTTGTAGTTGTGAATTACGTAGTAGCTTATAACTTCCTCTTTTTTTTTGGCTGTTCCATTTTGACTAGGCAAATTTACACACACACAACTTTGACCCTCAATATCTTTGATTGTGTAATTATAAAAATTATATATATTGAAAATATATATATTAATACGAATTTAACAAGACCCAACATAGCTATGTTTTACATTATGTATAATTAGCAAATGATGGCCAAAGTGAAGCAGGTGAATAGTGTCGGAAGCCAAAATGGAACAACTAATTAAGGAATATAGCTTATCACATCGTATAAGAACTTAATTTCTTATCCGAATTTATTTGATCTTTAACCAATCTAAATTATTTGAACTCATTTAATTTTATTCAAGATATTATAGTCTCTCCCCTTTAAATTAATTGCCAAGTTTTTCTAAAATTATGAGGACCGTGTTCACATGGATGCGTTCCAACTTCCAACTCAGGGCTTAGGATCGATCTAGTACAAATTTACAATTACCCGTCAGATTTCCGTAGCAATGCTAATAGGCTTCTAACTAGAATGCAATAGTGGGGGTCAGAGCCGTCTGACCACTTCCACAAAGATAAAGACCTAACCTACTTCACAATAGATAAGAAGTATAAAGTAAGAATAGTAAGACATTTAATACAGCCTATTGTACTCTTTCGACATTATTAAAATGGAACATAGTTGAAATACTGATATCAACAACAAGAAATCAGTAGGTGTCGCATATAGTTAAATATCTATATAATTAGGCATCAAGGGAGATAATTGTTTCTAACTGTAGACCTAGGAAAATTTCACTACTTCATCAAAAAGTAGTAGTATATGATCAAATTTACACTTTAAAAGAAGCTTGTAAGTTTTAAAATACCCCTTTTGGACTTCAATGAATAAACACTGAAAATTCACTTATTTACCCCTAATCTCCATGGTACCTTGTTAGTCAATATTTTTGATGTATAATACAAGTGAAGACCCAACATAAAATCATAGCCCAAACAAACATAGGAAGCTAAAGTACTTCCTCCATTCCAATAATATTGAAACAATTACCATTTAAGAAAGTTTCACAAATATTGCAAAATTACCATATATGCACATGCTTTCTCTCTACCTCTCTCCTCATCACATGGGTCCTTATCTTTATTTCTCTCTATCTCTCTACTTATCTTAAATTCCGTGTCTTCCCCTTATTGCAATATTGGGGGAATGGAGTAAGTAATTGTTTAAAATTCTAAAGAGTAACTCAAATATTCAATAAACAAATAATTGCTTAAAAAGCAAGTATAACAATAAAAAACTCAAACAAGTGTCTTCTTATAATTTCTTTTCAAAACTTTACTAGGGAGTATATAATAACAAGAACTAATGCTTTCATCACATCAGCCATACCGAGTTATATTAATGAGACAACGAGTAAAAATGTACCACGAAATACAGCATAGATGAATCCTATCAAGCTAGCATTTAGTACACAACATCCTTGGATGAAGATTGACTTATTGCTTGTTTGATTGACATAAAAAGGTCTGGGAAGTGGAAAGCTATGGGAAGTTTGGTTGACAAAAAATATAGGAAGTGCGCTAGAAGTTCAGTATACCACAAAGTAGAGGAAGTTGTTCCCCTAGACCTCCCTTAGGTAAGTAGAAGTTCCTATTTACTTCCCATGATCAACCAAACAATTTTGGCACTTGCTAAGAAATGGAACTACTTGGACACGCTTTTACTACTTCCTACATTCAACCAAATGACCACCTAGTATTTGCTACCGAAACCAAGTAGCAATAATCTGAAATTATTATTCGCATGCTCACCAAAGAAATAGGTTAAAAATTAAACCCAAAGAGACCCACAGAAAAGAGCATATAACAAAAAAAGGTGCACCTCTAGGTAATAGAACATATATGTGATTGGCTAAAAGAATATTAATATCAATTCCAAGTGCCCATTTACTAAGATTAAATGCTCACCTTTCAACAAGTATGCCTGCTTTGAAGGAATCTTCCAACTAAAAGACGAAAAGAAAGCATTGACATTAGTACCGGGGAACCTTGCTCGAACATATTGTTCTATTGAAAGCTTGCTTGCGAAACCATCCCTCTTGCGCCTAGATTTCTGGAAACGCAAAGGAAGATACAAGTATCTGTCAAGATAATATCCAGAAGCAGCTACTCTTCTGCCAACCCTCCAACCCCATATATCACCAGGGCTTGGCCAATTTACAGGGGCATATGGAAGACCCTCTCCCCCTTCTTGTGGCAATACCGGCCAAAGAAGCAAACCATTTTCCCTTATCTCAGTAATACACCCATTGCTAGCATCAGCAATATCAACTTCCATCAACTCCTCTCCATGTCCCGAGGCATCTTCTTTTTCACAAGTCATCTTGACACTGTGAATGATACTTCACCTAATTCTGCAAGAATCTAAGTTAATTTTAAAGCATCAAATAATATGTTCACAGGAGCATAACTTATATATGAAAGTGTATAGTGAGAGACAAAGTACATAACCCTGTTAAAATGACAGGGACAAGTGACTTAAAGAGGATTTATCATGAAGTGAAGAGTAAAGAAAAAATTATCTTTGCTCACTTTCTCATTCAATTCCATATCATAACAAAAAATCGATGAATGATATTCTCAGTTCAACCAATAGGAGCTTAAATAAGTATACTAATTTATGTTACTTGAACTCTTCATTACACCTCGAGTATCCTGTTAGACTCTCGACACTTGGACGTGAATAGGACAATTAGAGACTTTATTTTAGTTCAAGATCATGGAAAGGTTTTACAAAATAGACATAGTCGAGTTAGACACTTGGACATGTACCCGTGTCAGATACTAATTCAGTGCTTATTTTTACTTCAAAGATCAAACTTAAAATCATAAACCAACGAGGATGCAAATAACAAATTAAAAATAAAAAAAAAACAAAAAAACCATTAAACCATTCAAATCAGTCATTATTCATCCAGGCCCGTCCCTGAGGCAGGGCAGGAGGGGCGGCAGCCCTGGGCCCAGGGAAAAGAGATCTGTTTTGATAGTTGAATCATAACATTAAAGTGTTGTGCAATACATTAGCAACCAAATTTGATTTAATTATCTCATAATTTTAGGAATATTTGATTCAATTATCTCATAATAATTTTAGGGATATTTGATTCAATAGTTCAGATTTTGGAACCCTACACTAGATTAACTTAGATTGTGAAATTGAAATGATGATAACAAATACAAACAACTTACCTCAGAAGCTGCTTCAATGGGGGATACAAGAACTAGATACAATGGAGAACGTCGACTGCGCCTCAATGGAGAACGTTGAGTGCGCTTCAACGGAGGGAGTTCTGAGAGAGAGCAATTCAATGGGTTGGACGCTTGGAGCCCTATTAAAACCCATGACCCGCCCATTTATTAATGGGTTAGATTCGTCTAATAAATAAATGGGCTGAGTCTTTATATGATCGTCCAATTATGGGACAGGGTAGACCTTTTAAGGGTTGAGAGTAAACCTGTTTTAAAAAGTACGGAGTATTAGTTTATATTTACACTTCCATTTCTCAAATACTATCTTCACATACCAAAACTAGTATAATTTGTTTGTAAATTATTTTTTATTTTTTCTTTAAATTTTGAAAACGACTGAAATAACATTAATTAAACTGAGTTTACAACAAACGAAAGGAAAGTATGGTAGCATAAGTCAATTACAAGTTATCATGTGTTAAATGTGGTTAGGATGAGTTTCCCTAAAAAAAATGTGGTTAGGATGACTCTTTTGTCGTGGTCATTATGGAAAATTAATTGTGTCATGTGAAGTGTGAACTATGCAATTGTAAGGTAATGTTACCTTTGAGGTTTTGACATCAGCTGACGATCACCTACATTTTATTATAAATGCAGTTGCAGACTAGTAAGTGTAGAATTGTATGAGTTGGTTAGTGATCTGTGTAAAACAGAAAATTATTAGTAAATAACTTTGGAAGTGACAACTTTAATACTTTTTTTTTTTTTTGAAAAAAAAACCATCTAGATCAACCGAAGAAATTTTCAAAGTGCGAGGAGGGATTACATCACTCCACACCCGTTGGCCAAACTCCCATGGTTGAAAGTGAGTCAATTTTTGTGCTACATTATTACCCCCTCGCTTTACAAAAGACCATGAAACACTAGTAAAATTAGAAGGATAAAAAAATCTAGAATATCCTTTATAATCAGATGAAAGGAATTAGATCCATACAAACGCTTCCTCATTGCCTCAATCACCACCAGACTATCATTCTCGATCCCAATGCAGCTCATACCCTTGTGTCTCGCAATCTTCATGCCCCAAAATACCGTTTTCACCTCTGCAATCTTAGTCTTTCATTTTTTACTCCACTACACCATAGCTCCCCAAGCACCACCCCCTCACTATTCCTACATACTGCACCCAGCCCCGTCCCCACCTCCTCTAAAACACCAGCATCAACAATAATTTTAACCACACTAGATGCGAAGGAGACCCGCCAAAGAGACATTGTTTCCACCCCTCCATTCCTCATGTTATTCAACTTTCCCACCTCACGCCCCTTCGAATTAATCTTCAAAGCATAGGCAACAATTTGCTCAATATTCGGATTTTCACCCTCAATCATCCATTTGTTCCTTGTGCCCCACATAGCCCAACACGTGGTAATTAAACTCACCATATCCTCCCTAAAATTACCAAAATAGTGCTTCCACCAATCACCCATACTACAAAGAGAGTGAGACAAAACCATAGAATAATTGCACTTACTCCAAATTGCTCGAGCTAAACTGCAATCTTTTAATGCATGCATGACAAACTCTTCATCTCTCTGGCAAACACCACAAGCTAGTAGCCATGGCACAAACTAGCTACAAAAAAAATTAGCTTTAAAATCTTATGTGGCCTAAAAAGCTAATTTGCTAATTAGCTTACCATTGGAATTGCTCTAATACTCCATCTGCTCCTTTTATTGGATACATTTTGACTTTACACCCTAGTGTCCCAACCAGTCCAGCGAACACCCACCCAAACCCTAACTCTAACTCTCGAACCCCACTTATGTGGCGAACTCTCACCTAAACCCCAATCCTTACTCTCAAACCACACTTATGCGGCGAACTCCCACCTAGCCCTAACCTAGCCGATCGATCGAACCCACACAACTCTCACCAGCCTAGTCAACACGAACCTATGACCGCCCAGCCCCCACACCAAACCCGACACCCCAATCTTTTTAAAAAATTATTTATTATAATTAAAATTAAAATTAATTTTTTGTATTTAAAGTTAATATTAAGCTATATTTTGTTTTTAATTAAGTCAACTAGTGTGTACCTCGGGCAATGCCCCGAGTTGGTAGTTTGTGTACTTCTTGCTTTAATTTAACATTTATGTTCAACTATTTGTATTGTTAGTGTGCGTAATGATTCGGGCGTTGCCTCGAATGTCACTTTTTGTTTCACATCATATGTATTTATATTCTAATCTTGGGAAAAATAAATGAATTATATTACCTCTAATTTACTTAATAAATGAAAGGAATATACAATATTATGTGAAACTTGAAACATTAATAATAGTTGGCTGAGATGGTAAATGTATTATTGGAGGTAATGAGTTCGAATCTTGTTCAAAGCATATTTTATTTTGTTAAGTAAAGTGGCTTTAGATGATGACGTGGCATTGTGACATAGCACACATACTTTGACCGTTCCTTTAAAAGGAACGCAAATTGGAAGATCACCTAAAGTTCAATTAATTATTATTTATTGATGATTACTAATTATTTATTTAAGTAAATTATAAAAATATGATACTTAATTTTTTTTTAACAGATAAATCACAAAAGAAGGTCAAAAAAGAAGTGTGAATAGTGAAAATGTGCAAATGGGGCAATTAAAAAAAGGGAGAAATTATTTAACAAATTATATAAAATTATTTACGAATTAACAAATTACATAACTATTTAACAATTATAAAAATAAATTGGGTTTTTCACCATATACCTCTGAGTTTTTTGTTTATTCACCATATACCCTTGAAATTTTTCAAATTCACCATATACCCCTGAATTGTTACAAAAATTCACCATATACCCCTTATGACAACAAGATGAGTGGAATTTGATTAATTATGCATCGAAACTACTTTAGATCTCTCCCCTCATCCCCGAAACCACTCCTCTCCTTTTTCTAACCCCCAAAACCACTCTAGATCTCCATAACCATATCCGTATGATTGATTTTGAGGATGAGAAATGGAAATTTGTGATTGTTTTAGGGGTTAGAAAAAGGGAACATGGGTGATTTCGGAGGTAGGAGAATGTATTTAGGGGTGGTTTTAGGTCATAATTAACCCTAATGACTGACGAAGTTAACAATCATTAGTCATCAAGGGTATATGATGTATATTTGTGAAAACTCGGGGGTATATGATGAATCTAAAAAAGTTTAGGGGTATTTGGTGAATAAACAAAAAACTCAGGGGTATATTTTTTAATTATCATTTTGCCCTAGGCCTCCAAAATGTCAAAACCGTTTATGTATTCATCTTCTAAATCCTAGCACATAACTCACATTATCTTAATATTACCATTTACAATAATGGTCACTTATTAAATAAAATGATAGAAAATCTGTTTTGATGAAATGACTGTAAATCAAGGAAATTAATACTTCGTAAGACATTTTACATTAACAACCAAATGTGACTCAATTATCAAATAAGCTTAAATAAATCACATAACACTCTTCTAGATTGAGAATATCAACGTAATTGCACATAGATAACAACAAAATCGCAGTTTATAAGCGTTCACAACTTCAGTAATTATAATCAATAGTTCAATAGTCCATCTTAGAAGAACCCTAGATTGACAGTAGAATTAGTGTGAAACTTATAAACTCTAGATTGATAAATTGGTATTCAATGAATAAACAAAGAATTTTTTTTACCGTTGTTTTGATGGAGAGAAAGCTCAGAAGGTGCTTCAATTGTAATACCCTGGAAATTTTATTCTTTTAAAAATACTCATTTTACTCTAAATAAAACCCTTTTTGGAAATAACCAAAATATTACCGCCACGTAATAACGGCTAAGGCTAATTTTCAAAGTCATACAGCGACAACTTTTAAAATAAAAGTTGATTTCACAACCTCAAAACAAAAGTAAAATAAAACATTCACAAGTTGGAACCAATTCAAACATGACCCTTCTTAAATACTAATTAAAAATAAACACAATATTGTTAGTCTATAAACAATAACCAATAATTCAAAAATATCAAAAGAAACATAACAAGTAACTCTCTGCACTCTATCCCATCATGCTCTTCATGCTTCAAGTACCTGTTACTTCTTCTTTATTTCAACCCTCTACTCACCATATAAAGGGGTCATAGTAGGGCCAATCTAAAGGAAAGCCAAACACAAAAGTACGAATCAGCAAAGCTGGGTACATATGCACCACACTAACATGAATATCCTAGCATCAAAATAAAAATAATTGAAAACTGCTCGCCATACAATCACAAGTCAACTTACCTTTGACTCATAACTAGCAATATTAATTATTAATAATTATTTTGAATTACGCATCGAACGAGTTTCCTTCCTTGAAAATAGGCCATTAAATATTGAGCTTCCAATCAGGGAGCTACCCCAATTTGCACCTACTATGTCACACTTGTGACAGAATTCCTAGGCATAAATAATAAAAGAAAGTACAGCGTCCTGTACTCCTGTAGAATCTATGGTTAAAATTAAAACCCCATAACTCCCCCCATATGTTCATACTCAAGGTATATACGTTCCAAGAGTTTTAGTGCGTATCCTCTTACACTTTACGTGATTTACCAATTTAACATGTGATGACTCCAACCAATCAATCAAGAATAAACATAGCAACAATCAACACATACTTTCAATTCATTCTTAAATTAATTAGTGAGCACATACTATTTATTTTAATTAGGGTTCCTTGCCTAGTTTTGTGCACAAAATTGCACGATTACTACCTTGGTGCATAAAATGCACTACTAAACTTCCTTGACTCGAACTCAACTTACATAAGCGAGTAAATAAATAAATTAACTTCTTGACTCAACACCAATAATAAATGGGTGAGAAATAAATTCATGAATCAGTCTCAATAATTCTAACTTTAACTCTTTAATTCATATATAAGCCTTGCTTATTAAATACATGCCTTCTTGATACTTGAAAATAAAACATACTTCCACGATTCATACATACTCAACTTGTATCATGCCTCAAATAACATATTCACATGCTTGTATAACAATTCATGCTCAACCAACATCAATTCCAAGCATATAACCAACCACACATGCTACTAATTCATCACTTAAATCATACTTTACAATCCT